GTTTACCTGTAGACCGTTACTGTAGTTGGACAGGTCAGCTACGTGTGTAATATACCCGTATTATACAGGATTACTTCAGTAGTACATTTTTGATACACCGGGCAGTAAAATTTTCGTACACGGGTATTACCTCTCTAGGCTAGTACTCTGTAGTACACCTATAATACATTTGTATTGCACTGGCAGTACATCTGTGTTACAATGGTTGTACATTTGTATGTGCTAGTTTTACATATTTGGTACACTGGTAGTACACCTGTTGTAAGATCTACTGTACACTGGTAGTACATGTTTACGATGATAGTACATTTGTGGTATATTGAAAGTACTTTTTATGATATATCGGTACACCAACATCAGTACATTTGTAGTACATATATAATTCAGTGGTAGTACATCAGTAATAAATGTGTAGCACACCAGTTGTACATCTACAGTACAAGCCGGTGCATCTGTAGTAAATCTGTATTACACGGTAATACAGCTGTAGTACTGTACATCTTTAATACTTGTTGTACACCTCTAGTTCATGGTAGTACACCGGTAGTATATATGCAGTACATGATAGTACATTTGGTGAGCTGTACATGTGGCTAGACGCTGCTCACTGGAGTACAAGTATATACAAAGACAGACAGACCTCAGGACCTGATGCTTCATGACTCACCGCTAAGTCCTTCCTCTCAGGTCGAGTCTCAGGGTAACATCTACGCCATTTTTGATACCAGTCAACCAATGAGATGCGTCCTCAATTCTCCAGTTACGAGGAAATACATACAGTTAATTTTCCCTCTTAACTGGCTAGGTGAGGCAGCCCTGAGACTATACCCTGGTCAAGGAAGACATTACCGTGTGAGTGTTGTAGCTCAGGCCCTGGTAGTCTCGGCCCTTCAGTCGTGGTCAAGTGAAGGTAATTCCTCTCTCAGTCTGGATTCACAAAGGTTCATACGATAAAAAATTATCTTAAGAGACAACGTGATTGACTCCTCCTTAGGTTTAAACCAGAAAATTAAACCTTCTCAAATTAACATCAAAACAGAGAGACAGGTTTATTTGGCCCCAGTTAGGACAGATTATTAATTTGGAAATGATTCTATTCGTTAATTATCTAGCTAAGTGAACGTATCTAGTTTGGGTAGAGACAAACTAAAATGTTAATGTTATACAATATATGGAGGTGATTTCTGTGTATTGTTACATTTTGAGTTGCGAGAAATAGTTATCGTACGAGCCTTTGTGAACCCAGACCTTTGGGCCATAAGTCAAAACATGAGAAAAAAAGATGACACACCAGGATGACCCCGAGGTCGTCAACACACTACAGGTATTCACAAGAGTCACCAAACACTCACACACACACACGTACACTGTAAGAAAACTACCACGGCAGTACCGCTAAACCATTTCTTCCCGAGGCGACCCTATTTTCAATAACAATGGCGCTTACACAACAGTGGTGACGTCTACCACTATGATTGGTGGAGACGAACTAGGTACAACTAAACTCGTCTGTGGTGAAACTAAAGCGTCTGTTTCCAGTAATTCTTCCTTGTCTTTGGTAATGTGAGTTGATAAATGCAAACCCAAGATAGCCTTAACAACTAAGGTACAGTCCACGGTGTTTAACTATATTTTAAAGGGAATTTTGATTCATTAAAGAACAATGATAATATAAATGACCAATTCTTAATACTATGACGGTGTTGGTAATAACTTGTGAATACCCACTTGTTGTTTTGAACAATATTGGAACGAGGTTGGTGTTTATAAGAGGTTTGTGAGCGCGGCCGTACGACACACGGGAGGAGGCCAGCAGTGGTACTAGGAAGAGCTGTAGTAGCTCCTATGTCTCAGCTAACGACTCAAAATAACCTAGTGGGAGATTCCGACAAATGCCAAAAACAAAATCAAGAAAGGATCAACACATATATGTATTTGTATATATATATATTTATTTTATATATCTTAAATGACCTCTATCAGAAGACTTTGGATGTACCCTATGGGCAGCGAGACAATGTAAATAAACACTGCCGAACAAGAATTCACTATCTACTTTCTCAAAGGGGAAGAGGGGGGGGCGTTTATAGAGACCTACCTCACTAAACCTTAAACTATATAATGGTGGAAACTTTAATATAAAAATGTGGTTAAGACACAAGATGAGTAAACAGGGGAGAGAGAGAGAGAGGGGAGGAAATAAGGACTGGAACCTTGTTGACACGACCTAGTGACGGGTTCTGGAAGGTATGATGGCCGGGAGCAATGGTCCTCACTTCATGCTTGTCGTCTTCATCTTCCTCCTGTTCTTTCCATTCTTTTTCCTCTCTTCTTTACTACTTTCTTCTGTTTCGTTTTTCTTCTCACTTTTATTCGTTTTATTGTCATTCCCATTCTTGTTCTTATTCTTCTACTTGTTATTTTTTCTCCCTTTGTCAGTTCTTTCTTCTTCTTCTTCTTCTTCTTCTTCTTCTTCTTCTTCTTCTTCTTCTTCTTCTTCTTCACATTCGTCTTCTTCTTCTTCTTCAATCAAAACCTTCCAGAAAACAACAACATGGCAACCCACCCTGACCTTACTCCCAAGAGCGTCCCCAAAATGGCGGGAACGAAATATAGCAAAGTTCGTTTCAGAATTCCTCCCACAGATTCAGGTCTCGATTCTCTCCATAGTAAATTGGAATACTTCTAACATTTCTAATTCACAATGCATTGGCGTGAGCTTATGAACCCCTTGAGCACGACTAATCAAGACTATTGTACTTCACGTGGTGAGATTACCGTACACTGTTGTTTGTTATCGTACACTACTGATTGTTATTGTTTACTGTTGGTTGAACTATCGTATACTGTTGGTTAGGTCATCGTACTCGGTTTGAGAAATTATTGTACACAAATAGGTTATAACTACTGTACTGGTATCGTTAAAACATTGTACTCGCTAGGTTTAGTTATCACATTAATTCGGTTATTGTACAGATCTATTTTATCATATGCAGTCAGCTTAAATCAGCATACTCAGTGGTCATCATACACTCTTGGTAAAGCTATCGTACCAGATACAAAGTTATCATACTCAAGGGGCATTACAGCACTACCAGACGTACACTACCATATTCAATAAGTTGTCATACTAAAACAATATAAAGTTAATTTACTTAAAATATCATCGGACATACAAATGGGGATACCATTACTTAAAGGGTATAAAATTAACATAGAATATGATTATACATATAAACATAGATGATCTTAATCATGAAATGTGAAGCTCACAAACTTAGACTATCATCGTACTTAAAAACGAAGGTTATCGTGCTCAGGTGGTATAAAGTTAACGTACTTAGATCAGTATCGTACCTACAAATAGAAGTTATCGTACTAAGGTGGGGATGGTATAAAGTTAACGTACTTAGATCAGTATCGTACCTACAAATAGAAGTTATCGTACTAAGGTGGTATAAAACTAACGCACTTAGAATATCATCGTACTTGTAAACAAACTAACTTAATTTTAGGTAATGTGGGAGGGTTTAAGTGGAAGCATGAGATACGGAAAGAAGGAAGTATTTAAATATATTAGACTATTGTAATACCAACTTAAACGTGTGCTAAGGAACAACTAGAGTTATTACTATTTATATATATATGTATGTATCAGATATGTGAAATGATCACAATACAGTGGTGTTTTATCGTTCAGAAGGAAGTGAAACAGGGGGCTAATGAATCGTTATTATCTTCCCCTTTTTCTTCTTCTTCTTCTTGGTCTTCTTCTTGGTCTTTTTCTTCTACTTCTTGGTCTTCTATTATACATCTACTTCGTTTCATGAAAAATGGATGGACGAGGGAAAGAAGTTAGAGATTGGAAGTGAACGTAATAAAATGAGAAAACATTGCAAGTGAAAATAAACAAGAATATGATAATAAAAAAAATGTAACTAAAGAACGACTACACGATGGTGATATGTAATAAAAATATATACACGTGTGATATGAATAATAATAATGATAATAATATACTTACATCATTAATAACCATAGTACAATGATTAATAATGAATAATATCATTGGTTCTATGTCTATCATGTGTCAACAAAGGTCAATATACCAAACTTGTCTCAAAATAATACCAACAAATCTATATCCTTCAGAATATACCAAAACAAACCCATTATTTATATTCTACAAAAGTACATTGATTCATAACTACAGTACTAAAGGAATAGCTAATCCACACCTGCGCTTGACACCAAATCACTCATAAAAAAAATTCGGAAACAAGAAATCAGTTTGAGCAGAGAGTTACATTACAAGTTCACAGCGTACATGTACTAACACACGTACATAAGCTTGGTACTTTAGTAATGTATAAGTACAACATATGTCATCAAAAAGTGTTCTTCACTGTATACTAGTGGTAATGGGAGAGTGGAGGAGACTAGGTGGTGGTAGTACAATTTGTAGGGTTGAAAGTACTCTTATTATTGTATTAATGGATAAAAGGTTAAGTCTACTGATTGGTTCCTCTATGACTGTTGTTTACCTGGTATGGGAGGGAGGGAGGGAGGTATAAAACAACACGTGTTTCTTGTGACAAAGTGATCACCATTTGGCTGATATGGTGAGGAAGGAGAGACACTGTAGTGCTCACTGTGATCCAGCTTGGTGCCGTCTGTGACTCACTCTTCTCACCTCCTGTCTTGTATGTCGTTTGGGGTCGTTGGTGATTTATTGCAAACTGGTGAGCTGGTGCTTGGTGACCAGGGGCACCAGTACAGCTGACTCACGCGCACTGTCATTGTCAACTTTACGTTGCCACCACACCCACACCGCTACTTTACCAAGCTCACCACAGTGAAGCTCTTGCTTCTTATATATATATATATATATATATATATATATATATATATATATATATATATATATATATATATATATATATATATATATATATATATATATATATATTCTTATTACAATGATTAAAAATATTTTAAAATATGTTAAAACTACAATTATTTTTAAAAGACTTACAAATTAGATGAAGAAGCTGTTGCTAAGGGATGACAGTACTGCTAATCTTATTTCAAAAGGAATAACTTCTACGTACAAGAAATAGACCTAAGAGACGCATCACTACGGCTGTACCCCTGTCTGGGGTTCTATTTGGGCAGTAAAGGAAATCCTAAGAGAACGCTACCAAATATTTGCTAAGAACGCAATGTGTCGACAGTAACTGGAACATTGGCTATCTACTATTGGAGTGACGTCATCCTATCAACACTAAAGCGGTGTGACGTCATGGTAGAGGGCGATGTTGATTGGTCAGTAGTGTCGCTCTTCTCCTCTGCCTATCCCCTGCCGCCCGACTACGTGGGCGCTGGAGAGGAAAACATCACCACGAAAACTGGAATCACCAAGTGAAGTAACTCTGTGTGAGACAACTGCCTAGTGAACACCAAGATAAACATGGTGCTGTGTTGGTGAGCAGGTGATCACCACCACCCGGCGCCTCACCAAAAGACTAGGCTTACACAGAGATCCTTGTACTGAAGAACAGGCGACAAAAGCCTGCAGTCATCCTCTTACACCTTGTGAAAACAACGTCACGAGGCGCCCCTCTCCTCCTCCTTGACTGCTGCCACTCGACGGAGGTCACCCAGAGGGCCCGGAACATCCCAACATACAGTACAACAAGCTTTTGAGACATAAGAAAAAATATCCGCTCTCATTTTGTGAACCTTTTGAGACATCCATCTTACACGTTCCTCCAGCTTTGTCGAGAGGAGGGGCTGAGGCTTCCGGACAGACGGCTAATAATTGGATCGCCGTTTTACACACAAGACCATCTTCAAGTTTCTTTTGATAACTTTGTGTCGTATTTTCTTTTCAGTTCTTATTTACGGAAGTTCTATTAGTTTTCGGCTCCTTCTTAAACATACTTCACTCACACGCCTTTGTGTAATGACGCGCACGTTGTGTCATCATCATCTTCATCATTATCGTCATCATCATTATCGTCCACTGTATGTTGATTCAACTTTCATCCCAAAAGGGGAGATCTCAGTGAGTTCTTCGTTTTTTTTAACTTATTGTACATCCTTATCACACACTTGTGTTCACTGTCTTTATCATTCATCCTCCGAAGGATTCCTCACATGCACTGCTTCTTCACCCTTACTGGAGATCCTTCTTACACGTCCTTCGACAAATCCTTCACATTTTCTCAATTATTCGATTGTGTCAAAATCCATTGCTCCGGGTAGTCCTTCACGCGTAGTCTGTGTCAGTTGAGAATGCCCTATCTGGCAGGGCGGTGTAGGTGTAGTCATAGTCCCTGGTGGTGTAGTCCGCGGTGTGGTAGTCCCGCTTGCCATTGGCGTAGCCCTCGTGTGTGTATTCGCCAGCCTCTTCGGCGGGGTCGTCGACGTAAGCGCCTCGAGAGTGGGCGTATGCGATCGACTTCTGGTAACTGAAGAGTTGTCGCTCCAGGCTGAAGTTCTCAGCCTCCAGGGCCCCGATCTCTCGCCTGGAACAAGAGGAGGTAGGATTAGTTGTGATGTACACACACACACACGCACACACACACACACACACACACACACGCACACACAAATAAGCATTAGGTGGTGATCAAACAGGAAATTTTATCATCGCCCGCGCTAGAAATATTTTCGAGTTAAATGGACATCAAAAGACAGGCCAGTCTGGTGTGTGTGTGTTGCCTGTGCGCTCGAACCTCGGTATAAAGACTCCATGCTTATAGAGGGTAGTAGCTCTGAAGTGGTCACCTTGGTACATCTCACCTCTCTATAGCGAATACCTCAAGCCACTACCTCAGTATAGAAGTGACCTCTCTAAAGCGGCTACATTACCTTTATATTGTAATATATTCTCTTTATTGTTCAATTATATAACGCTCTTATTTACATATATGAAATACATGTTGAAAAGGAGATAATATAATACTGTATTGTTATGTAACTATGTAGTACTCTCTCCTGACCACAAAGGCAAGTCATCTCATCACTAATAGCTTCAAGGTCTACGGCTGAGTACAGTAATATAAGCTGGATGATCCACTCAGATACCGGGAGTACGGTGGACGGTACAGTGTGGGACTGTGGTACTTCCTCTCATCTTCTCTCCCCTGCCCCCTCTCCCTCCTCTCTCCCGACTCCTTCCTCTCTCCCCTCTCTCCCCTTTCCTCCTCTCCCCTCTCTCTCCTCTCCCCCTCTCTCTTCCCTCTCTCTCCTCGTGGCCTCCTCCTACTCCCCTTGGGATTTCCCTCCTGTCAAAAGGGTCCTTCTCTTCCTTTCCTCCTTAATGGCCGCCTGTGTGACTCCCGCTTCCTTCCTACTTCCTGTTTATTGTCTCCTGTTTCCTTCCTCTCTCTTCCTACCTCCTGTTTCCTCCCCTTCTACCCCAGCCCTTCCTCTCGTCTTCCTTCACTTCTTCCTTCTTGTGTCTTCCTTCCTCTTCTTTCCTTCTGCTTTTTCGTCCTTCCTTCTTCCTTCCTCTTGTTTCTTCCTCCTTCCTTCCTTCTTCCTTCCTCTTGTTTCTTCCTCCTTCCTTCCTTCTTCCTTCCTCTTGTTTATTCCTCCTTCCTTCCTGTTTCATTCTTCTATGACCTCTTTATTTCTTTTTTTTTCTTCCCTCGTTCTGTCCTTCAACTCAGGGGACATCAAGGAATCTTTCAATTCCCATTCCTGATTTTTATTCCAAGTTTCCTCTTCTAGGTTCACATTCCAGTTTCCTCCTTCATATTACCACTTCAAACTGCAATTCCAACTTCCCATTCCCGATTCCAATTCGAAAATTCTAAATATCAATTCCAAATGTCTATTCCAGATACTTATTACGAATTCATGTCTTGAAATTCCATCATGTATTCCCATTCCATTTAAGTCATTCCCGATATTCCCACAAGGCTTACCATTACATATCACACACTTTCCTTTTATCTTTCCCTTCTTTTTTCTATCACATTCCCATTCCAGATTCCCATTCCAGATTCTCGCTGCGAAGTCCTTCTCTTTAGTGGTATTGAGAAGGTGAGGAAGAAAACTGATATAGTGCTGAGGGATAACTTATGTAAATTCATGATCTGTGGGAGAGAGGGGAGAGGTAGAGAGAGGGGAGAGGGAGAGGGGGAGAAAGGAGAGGGGAGAGGTAGAGAGAGGGGAGAGGGGAGGGAGGAAGAAGACAGGGGAGGGGAGGGGTGAGGAAGGGGAGAGGGAGAGGTGGGGAAGGGGAGAAGGTGGGGTGAGGAAGGGAAAGAGATAGGAAGAGAAGGGTAATAAGGAAAAGGAAGGAATAGGGAAGAGAGAAAAGGACAAGAAATGGAGGAAAGAGAGAGGAGTGGAGAGAAAGCATAGGAGAAAGAGGTAAGGAGTAAGGAGAGGGGGAAGAGGGGAGAAGAAAGGGGTAGGGGAGAGGGGAGAAGAAAGGGGTGGGGGAGAAAGACTGGAAAAGGAAGGGTGGGAGATAGAGAGAAAATAATGTGTGTATTTATATGTGTGTTTGTGTGTGTGTGTGTGTGTGTGTGTGTAAAATCAATCATATATACATATCTGTCTACACATCATTAAACAAACAAATACACAACACTACCACCTGACCCCACGTTCATCACACACCTTACTGAAAAAAAAATAAAAAAATCCAATTTATATTTACGTACGAGAGTTTTTCCCCCTGACCTGGCATCACCGCCTCAAAAGTGATTGCCAGACGTAGAAGGATTCAGTTAATATTCAGATTTCGTCCTTGGAGGGTTGATGTTAGGTGATGGAAACTTTTATCACTTCATATACGGAACTCTGAGACACTCTTGGTGGGGGGGAGGTGTGTGTGGGGGGAGGTGTGGGGGGGAGGGGGGAGGTTGTGCTGGAGACGTGTGTGTGTGTGAAATATGTTTGAATGTTTACATCTGTTTTATTTACTTTGTTGTTGAGAAAGTGAGAGAGAGAGAGAAAGACAGACAGACAGACAGACAGGAAAACAGACAGACAGACAGATAGACAGATATTAGCCATGTGTAAAGGTGCTGTTGTGTATAGATCAGCTGACATTATTACATAGTTCTCTGGAAGTATTGCCCAAAAATGCTAAATAAATGGTCCCAGGAAGTGGTAATCGTAAGTGACCTTCATAAAAGACGTAAGAAGAAAAACAAAGAAGAAACACAATAACAAGACACGGTAGATAATAACATAAAATAACACACGGAAGGTTGGAAGTGAAGACAATAACAATAAGACCATGTGACGTCATTATAACCCCTTGTTAAGTTGAAGACCTAAGCTGCTCCCCGTGTACCCACAAGTCATCACACACAGTACCTTAAAGTTCTCCGAATTCAATAACTTGTTAACGTCACTGAGTTCAGGTACGTACTCAGGGAACTTGTGTAGAGGTAATTACGGTACAGGTAAGACCAACCAACCTAACCTAACTTAACCTAACCTAACCTAACTTAACCTAACCTAATCTAACCTAACCTAACCCATCTTAACCTATCGTAACCTAACCTAACCTAACCTAACCTATCGTAACCTAACCTAACCCATCTTAACCTATCGTAACCTAACCTAACCTAATCTAACCTAACCTAACCTAACCCATCTTAACCTAACCTAACCTAACCTAACTGTACTACATATCATTTTTATATCTAGGTTGGAAATATTTTTTTACACTACAAAACTCATATATAATTTCGTTATTATTTTCCCACCCAAACTTTCAGCTGTGATGTTGAGAAGTAATCTGTACAGGTGTTGCGCTGGACAGGTTGTTAGTTTAATTGCTACAACACCACAACAGTATATTATTTACACTGAAGCCATACTACACTGAAGGTCTTTTATACGCATATTATTTTTTAGTCTCTTGCCTCAGGTGTAATTGGCCAGGTAAACTGTTTGATTATGTTTTTATCTATGGGAAATGTCTAGTGTTTTTTTTTTAATGTGTTTTAGGTGACAGGTTAATTGTCTAGATCAAAGGTGTGTCAACGAAAAAAAACTCTCAAACGCTTCTCTATCCAAATAAATGAACATATCCGTACTCAAACACCCTCCCACCCACCCAACCCACCCATCAACCCACCCAACAACCCACCCAACCCACCTTCCTCCAGCACCAATACGTTCCACACCCTCCACCCAGCCGTCTCCCTCCCCAATAGGTAAATAGCCAATTTGATGCTAAACTCCTTACCTGAAAGACTGTAATAAAACTTATCAGGTTTTGGCTAGATGTGAATGGGATGTAGGAGGGGGGAATATTAAGGGCAAGTTAGGTTAGGGGTTAGGTTAGGTTAGGTTAGGTTAGGTTAGGTTAGGTTAGGTTAGGTGTGGTTAGGTTAGGTTTCCTCGCTGGTGGGGAATATTAAGGGTTATGAAGTAGCGTACATCAGAGAGGCCGTGGTGATGATGACAGCTTCTTCTTTATGTGGGAGTGTTTGTTGTTTGTTTTGCTTTATGTTTGGTTCTTGATGATGTATGGTTTTGGGTGTTTTTTGTATTTACTTTTTTTATTTATTTATTTTTTTTTGGGGGGGGGGGAGGTTTATGTTGTTGTTTTTTGTTGTATTTGTTGTGATTTTTGTTGATGTTTTTGTATGTTGTTGTTGTTGTTATTATTGTTTATGTTTCTGTTGTTTTTAGTGTAATCATTGCTATTGATATTGTAATTTTTTTCTATTATTATTATTATTATTATTATTATTATTATTTTTATTATTATTATTTTACCTTTTTTCCCTCACAAATATAATAACAATTAATCATCACTTCAAATATTATTCCAATATAACATACAAATATTTTCCTCGGAACCGACATGACATAAACACGTATACATTCCCCAACCTGACCTTTCTAAGTATTCCATGAGGTTGTAGGCCATTCAACACCCTCCCTCACACTCCCCTCATCCCGTCCCCCCCTCAAAAAAAAGTGAGCCTCACCTTTGATATATTTAGCCCAGGTGAGATAAAATATAGTGTAAATATATCTTACCTGAGGTCATATGGAACTATACATACATACATACATACATACATACTGTCACGCCGTCTCTTAATTTACTTTAATATCCAGGTTCTAGGCGTAACCAAACAAAAAAAGTGAAGTAAATCAAAAGGGGATAAAAATATATAAAGTAAACCTTTAAGAATTTAATTAAATTAAATATTAACACAGTAAAGAGCCTCGTAGGCTGTCACAACAAATTGATTCACTATCGAAACTTTTAAGACACAAATGATACTAAAACATCGAAACATCAAAAATTACGTTAACACTGCATAAACATATAAGGTAACTAACACTCAAATTAACTATCGTGAAACAACACTGAATTACTTAAATGTAACTAAGCAAGCACTGATGGACACATAAGAGACATGAATAGGTACTCACATAGATGTACCACATTGGTGGCGACAGGAACAACACAGAAATAAAATAAAGTAAAAGTAACAGGTGACGGGTGTCACTCAAAAGAACGTGAACTGAATGA